TTTGCATTTTCTAAAGTTTTTCTTTTAAAACGATAAATACTTTTTACTTTTATAGTCAGCACTGAAGTTAAAATAAATAAATTGTAAGGCCACAATGGGAAAAATGTATTGGAAAGTTGAGATGTCTTTCTTCTTCTTTAATGCATTTATTATACATCTGATATTCCTAAGAAGCAAGTGTTTGATTTTGTTTGAGAACTAAGGTTTTGTTTCTATGTGAATATATGGAAAGGACATATTGTATTTTTCCAAATCTAAGATGTACATTTTTCCCCCACATTTTAATATGTCTGAAACTGGGATGTGTTTTACAACTGATGGACTATTATAACTTCATTGGCATGATATTTTTCTTAGTAAATAAAATACTATGTTTTACAATTGATGACATCTTATATTTGAGGAAATATGCTATTACCTAGGTGATTTCATAGATTAAGAAACATAACCATCTGACTTTTTCTTTTTTTTTTTGATAGAAATGGGAATAAATTTCTTGACATTGTCTAGATCGATCTACCCACAGGTGGTACATGTCTGTGTTTGAGGTGTTTAAAAACCTTATGTTTGAATTTTAAAAATGAACTAAATTATATATATTATATATTATAACTTTTAATTATGGTAGAAAATATAATACCTTTCTTCCTATAGATTTATAGTATTTTTATTTTCCCTCTGCTTTTCTTTTTAATCATAATCTCCTTAGAAAGTTGACCACTCTGTTTTTATGCCCCGTATTATTTTTACAGCAACCTGCTGCCTGTATTTTATATTCATAAAAGGATCCTCCAGCCCTGGCCAATGTGGCTCAGTTGGTTAGGCGTGTCATCTGGTGCACCAAAAGGTTGCCAGTTTGATTTCCAGTCATAGCACATGCCCAGGTTGTGGGCTTGATCCCTGGTAGGGGACATGAAGGAGGCAGCCAATCAATGTTTTGCTCTCACATCGATGTTTCTGTCTTTCTCTCCCTCTCCCTTGTCTCTCTCTAAAAATCAATTAAAAAATCTTTTTTTTATAAAAGGGATCTGCAAATATTTTATATTCATAGAGAAATAGTGCTTTAAGTGAGCATTAGTACTGCGATTCTCCTCATTCTTTGAAGGGGACACATGCCCAGAGAACAAGATTTTAGTGTCGTTACTATGTAAATGGTGACAGAGGTCTATAGCAGGAAAAGCTCTTTAGTTACTTTACAAATTCAAGTTTTGTTCATTTTTATGATGGTGTAGATTATAATTGGCTGCCTTTGCCTCATAGAAATGCAGTTGTCTTGATTACAGTGTCTGGATATCAAAGGATGACTAAGCCTTACTCCCTGTTCTGAAATGAAAGACTTGTGAAACAATAATTAAAAAAAACCTTGAGTTAGTTCATAGCCACTATTAGCTTTAATTAATTAAAGGAAGAAAATATTACACTAAATATTATATATAATTTTGACGTAAAAAATACCTTCAGCTCTTTAAAGGGTTTGTTCATTGTCTTTGATGTTGGGTCATAAACGCATATAGCTGATAGGTCAGATAGTTTGGGGAAGTAAATATTCTTTCTTACTATCAACATAGAATTCAGAACTGTTTCCTGAAAAGCTGTCACTTTTACATAGGAAAAGATGGTGATATAAAGTAAACCGTTTCCTTCTTTACTTTGACTTAAAACATTTTACTTGATTTGGTGGCTTCTCTTAGACACAGTGTTTGTCATTCCTCTCATATTCACTCTTCTCTCCAGTAGCATACACAGTCTTTGACCCAGGTACTCTGAGTAGACACATGGAGAAGAGCAATACGTGAGAATTCTGATAGAGCAAAATAAGCACGATCAAACCAGAGTTTATTAATGTGTACTGAAACGATTGCAAGGAGACATAACCAGCTCTCTCTTCAAGCCAGTTTGAGCTATCTTTATTTAGGCCGATTTAAAAACAGTGTGTACAGAGGCTCCTTCTAGTGCTTTAAGGGAATGCACCTAGTACCACATGAACTGAATCAAAAACAAAAAACTCAGGTTAATATGCATGATATTTTAACACACTGGAATGAAAAGGAAGGTCAAAATGAACACTGCCATGTAAATATAAATGAAATGGTTTTGAAGGAGCCATGTGATTGGCTGGACTTAGAGATAAATGTTTGGTAAAATTTGGACTTAGGGAGTGTAGTTTGATTCTTGGCATTAGCAAAATTTGAAAAAAAATTACAAAGCACCTTATTAGAAAATTGTAGGATACCAGTGGAAAACTTTGGGTTGGTTGGAGGGATGTGATTATAAAGAAAAAGTATGTTAAGCACAAGTGTCACAGTTTTTAGAGGTAAGTAGAGAATCTACCACAAATTCATGGAAATACTCTTTCCACCAGAAAAGCTTCTTTCCCCCCAACATTTAATAACTGTGAAGTGTAAATGTATTTGATAGTGAATGTTTATATATCAACAATTGTTTTTAAATTAAGAAATAAAAAATGAAAGGGAACAAGGAAGAACTGACCCATAGAGGTATTAGATATGTATGAAGTGATCATTGGGGTTAGCGGGTGTTTTTAAAGAAATTCAAAAGGATAAATAACATATCAAAACATGGCACCAAAAGGGTGGAAAGTATTTAAAATCCTAATCACTAAATATCATGCAACTATTTCAATATTTCTCAAATGTTTAAGACTGTATTAAAAATATATTACAAAGTTCTATGGCTTCAATGCAGGTTCATTCAGAGAAAAGAAAAAAAAAAAGCCCTTTGTAAAATATGGAAACCATCTTGAGTTAAACAAATGCCAGAAAAAATTATAATTGTAAAAATGAGATGTCGACTATCGTTATTACAGTGGCTGTGTTGTTTCCAATAACAATTTGGCGTTTTATTTAGTCTGTAACAATCTACAATTGAAATATAAAATAAAGATTTTTCTTTTATTTCCCTCTGAAGTTCTGTGCCAAGCTAAGCAGAACTGAATGAAACATCTGTGGATGATTAAAACAAGCTTTCCTATGGGGTTTTGAATAGAAAGTAAACATGGATTTTATCCACAGTCAACAGCATTTACAAATGTAAAGGGAGGAAGCTACTGAGTTTTTGAAGAATGAGCTGTTAGAGAGGAAATAGAAGTATGGAACGGCAGATGGCGATAATTAGTTCCATACGGTGAAAGGCTTCTATTAAAAAAAAATGACAGTGAGCTGCTCTGGTTGGGTGATATTTTATTGAAACAATTTTTGTGTACTATTTCCTATCTTTGTCTTTCTGGAGTAGTCCCTTCTCACAAAATCAACCAAATATGACTAACGTGATATATTTTGTTTTGGAGTCTATGTTCGTGCTCATGAATGAGAACACCCTGTGTTAGGGGGTTATCCAGATTGGATGCCCACTCATCTCTTCTACTTGGGATTTTCACTTCTTCGGTATTCCTTGCTTAACTTTATTTTGGGTCAGTCATGCTTTCCTAACTTCTTGAGACTATGTTGTTTAGTGCTTAAGAACCCTGGCTTTGGTGCCAGACTCTGGATTTGAATTCTACTTCCCCCTCACTAGCTATGTGATCTTGGGACAATTACCTAACCTTTCTATGCCTGTTTTCTCATCTGTACAATAGCGGTAGTTATAATACCTGCCTTAGTATATTATATTATGCAATCTAATGGTATAATTGTTGTAAGGATAAAATGAATTTATGTATGTAAGACACATTCACCAGAGTCATTTAGGCCCTACCATAGAGTTATTTAATAAAAATGTCTATACTTTCTTGATCATATACCACTTATCAGTAAATAATATTTGATCACTTATCTTCATTATAAGCTTGTTCATACAGTTAGTAATTTACATGTTCTGTTGTATTATAGTATATATTTTTATAATATATTTAGATATTTTAAAAGTGAGATTAAAAATAAATATAAAATGTTTGAACATCTTTTTCTCATATCTTAGTGGGTTAGGATTCAGAGATCACTGGTTTAGAATATATTTGCTGAGTTGAACTAACCTGAAAAGAGTAGCACTGAATTCAACTAGCCGGAATCTTTAAGAAACAACATAGCTCCAAGCTCTTTGGTAATCAGTTTATCCATTCCCTGTGAATGTGCCAAGGCCAAATGTGAAATCCTCTTCCCAGTTCCCTCTGTTTTTCATTTCAAAAATATTTTTGTTTACTTTCATTTTTTTGTTCTTTGTACTTCTTTATATTGCCAACCAACTCACTATTTGCAGTTGTGACCTTGACAGTATTCAAAATCCTCTGTTCTTAGCCACAAATGACTGTAGCTTTCAAAAAGATAAAGTAAGCTCTTTGTTTTTAATTGTTGATAATGGTTTCCTCACTTCCACCTTATTTCAGTATTCTTCCCAGTTGGCAGCAGTTGCAGCAGCTTTCTTAGTTCTGGGTCACCTGTGACTCCGCCTCAGTCATGGTGCATCAACATGCAGAGGTGTTAATCTTTTTTTGTTCCCTCTTGCAGCCTTTCTCTAGCTTTATAATTATCCAAGGTGGTAACAGCTCTTAAGAACATACTCTGTCACCTTGAAATCAGGTGGGTTTTAGCTGAAAACTCAGGCAAGGTCTTAAAGATGTTGTTTCTCTCAGCTGTGAATAGTGAAAGAGAATTTGAACATGACAGTCCTTAGTTATAATGATATTTAGATGATGGATTCCCATTACCCTGCATAATGTGGGATGTTGACATTTTATTCAAACATGTAATCCTTGTCATTGAGTGTGGGAAGTAGAGAGATTGCTACCTGGAGTTAGGGGAACTGGATGGCACTACAGAGAAATGACAGAAAGCCCAAAATAATAGCAATAATCATTTTCCACTTTCTGTCATGTCGTTTTTAGAATTCAAATGATGTCCTGTGGTACAGTCTTCATGATTCTTAAGTAGCTGCTGTGATTCTGAGCAATGTTTAGGGCACACCTTATTATATAAATGCCTTCATACACATTACCATTGATTATATATAGTTATTGAAACAAAGTATTTGATTTTTGTCCTTAGAATCGTATCTTGTAATCAGAAGAACTTCATTGTTGAATCAAGGTAAGGTTGCATTTGGGTTTTAATGCACATCCTTTTACATTGTTAATATGTTGAAGATAGAAAAATTTATTACCATCTTAATGACACCACCTTTGTGGTAAATATTCAAGAACAACGATATGGTGGTACACATTGCTGTTTATCTAGAAAAACTTAAGAAGAGGGTTTTTGCTTAATTTGAATACCCCATATGTACCATACACTGATAACAACTTATAAATAATTTGAATAAAATAAAATATACACACATATATAGAGAATTCATTTCTTTCATGGTTCTTGTAGGAACATGGTAACAACATAGAATTAAATATCCCTACCTCCCCTCCTAAAATTCATACAAGATGAAAGCAACATAACATAGAGTAGAGAAGAAGGGGACGCTTGACCTAAGTATGAGGAGTCAACCGTTGAGGATCTGTGGGAAGACCATTCCAGATAGAGTCAAAGGTAGTTGCAAAGGCCCTGGGGTAGAAATGAGACTGTGTACTGAAAGACAAGAAAGAAGACCTGTGGGGCTTGATTAAAGTGGGGAATGGGGAGATGAGGGTGGAGCAGTAGTCAGGAGCCTGAACACACAGTTCCTTGTAGGCCAAAGTAAGGAATTCGGGTATTATAATATAGTAGACAGCCATTGGAGCATTTTAAGCAAGAAAGTGACTGAGTTTGATCTACTGTTTAAAAGTCACGTTGTTATTGGGACAATTGATGAAATTTGAATAAGTTATGTAAATTAGATAATACAATTATATCAATGTTAATTTTCTAATTTTGATAATTGTGCTCTGTTTATGTAAGAGGAAGTTTTTGTTTTTAGGAAATACACCTAGAAGTATTTAGGGGTAAAAGGGTGAGTTGTCTCAAAGGCTACAGAAATAAATGTGTGTGGAGAGAGAGGAAGAGAATGATAAGCACATGTGGTCAGTGTTAGTTCTTCTTGGGAATTTGGGGAAAAGGTACACAGAAATTCTTTGTTCTATTCTTGTACTAGTCTTACAATTTTTGTCTAAGTTTGAAATGATTTCAAAGTTTAAAAGTAAAACAAAAAAATTATACTGGCCTGTGTGAGGAATGATTTATAGATGAGCAAATGTGGGAGTTAGGGAGACCAGTAAGGGAATGATTGCAGTGGTCTAGGAGAGCAATGACAGTGGAATGGATTGAGGCACTGGCAATAAAAGTAAAGAAAAATGGACAGATTCAAGATACATACTGTTGATTGGACTTGCTCATAAGTATATGTGGTTGGTGAAGGAAAGAAAGGAATGATATATGACTTAGGGTTTCTTGGCTATGGTGATGCCATTTTCTGAGATGGGAAGACTGAAGTTGTTCAGAATATAGAAAAAGTCATCCTGATTATTTAAGGTTTTGGGTTACTAGAGTTGATGGTGATGGACCTTACAACCTGCTTTTTACAAAAGTTTATTCTTTAATCTGACAAAACCAGAGGTTAAATTCCTATAAAGTTCAATTAGTTTTCTTCTATTTCTTTGGTGGCTTCTCTGCCTTTGAAATAATAAAATATTTATTGTAAGAAAAAAACAAGTGAGTGGATTGGTGAGAATCCATCATCACATTTAGCTAAACAACTCAAATCAGTACCTCACTATTACTGACAAGTCAAGAAGATGATATAAGAGTACACACAGTTCCTTGTAGGCCAAACACTAAGAAAATACATATTTGGACTATGAGCATAATATGGGCTTGTAATAAATTAAAACAGTATGGAAGTAAAAAGTATAATTTTTCCTCTTTCTTAATTTTGTGCTGTAGCAGAAGGCCTCCATTAGCAGTTGGATGTTCTCCTTCCACACATCTATCCCTATACACCAGTTCTCAACCCTCTTTACACAGGCACATACGTTACATAGTTGACTTTTTTTTTTTAAATAAAAATGGGAGCATATTAGTTACCTATTGCTGTGGAACAAATTCCCCCAAAATGTAGTGGCTTAAACAGCAAACATTTATTCTCATAGTTTCTGTGGGTCAGGAATCTGGATATGGCTTATTAGCTGGATCCCTTGCTTTGAGGTTTCTCAGGAGGTTGCACTAAAGGTATTGGTTGTGGCTGTGGTCTTACCTGAAGGCTCAGTTGGGGAATAGTATTGCTTCCAAGCTCACTCAATTGTTTTTTGGCAGGATTCAGTGATTTGTGAGGCTGTTGGACTAAAGTAAAACCTACCTCAGTGATTTCCCACACGGACAGCTAACAACGTGGCAGCTGACTTTCATTACAGTAAGCAGTAGCCACTCTCTCTTTGTAATCTAACTTCAGAAGTGATATCCTATCATTTTTGCTATATTTTGTTCATTAGAAGTGAATTACTAGGTCCAGCTCACATTCAAGAGGAGGGGATGACACAAAGGTGTGCATATGGTGATTACAGGGGGCCTTCTGAGAGGCTGGCTACTATAGCGTATATGCAGTTATACAACTTAAGTTTTTCACTTAATAATGCACTGTGAATATTGTTCCATGATAATATGAATAGATATGCCTTAAGTTCTTAATTGTTGGGGTGTATTTCTTTATATGGATGTACCACAATTTATTTAATAATTCCCTATTGGTTAAAATTATTTTTATTATTTTTCATAGTGAACAACACATATATTTCTTTGGCAGTGGTATAAATTTTTGTAAAGACTGTTTTTTTTAGTTTTTATGCTTATAACAAAATTGAGAAGGTACAGAGATTTCCCATATATGCTCCACCCTTGCTCATGCATAACCTCTCCCATTATCAACATCGCTCACTGGAATGATACTTTTTTTTTTCTCTCCCAAGAAGACATATGAACAGCCAATAGATACATAAAAAGATGTTCCACCTCACTAGCAATTAGGGAAATGCAAATCAAAACTACAGTGAGATACCACCTCATACTTGTTAGAGTGGCTATTATCAACAAGGCAAGCAATAACAAGTGTTGGAGAGGCTGTGGAGAAAAAGGAGCCCTCATTCACTGCTGGTGGGAATGTAGACTGGTACAGCCACTGTGGAAAGCAGTCTGGTGATTCCTCAAAAAAAATTAAGAATAGAGCTACCATATGACCCAGCAGTCCCTCTCCTGGATGTATACCCGAAAAAGCCAACTATGTATTCGCAAAGATATATGCACCCCTGTGTTTATTGCAGCATTATTCATGGTGGCTAAGACATGGAAACAGTGAAAGTGTCCTGTGATAAAGGACTGGGTAAAGAAGACGTGGTACATGTACCCAGTGGAATACTATTCAGCCATAAGAAAGGGTGAAATACTGCCATTTGTAACAAATGGGTGGAACTTGAGATTATTATGATAACTAAAATAAGTCAATCAGAAAAAGCTAAGAGCCATGTGATTTCACTCATATGTGGGATATAAAACTGAAACTCCTGGACACAAACAGCAGTATGGTGATTGCCAGAGGGAAAGGGTTGAAGGGTGGGGAGTGAAGGGGGTCTTAATATATGGTGACAGGAGAAGATATGACTTTGGGTGAAGGGCATACAGAGCAATATACAGATCTTGTAATATAGAAACCCACGCCTGTAACCTATATATTCATATTAACCATTTTCACCCCAATAAATTTAATAAAGTGTTAAAAAAGTTTTTAATCTTTATAAAAGTAGAGAGACTAGAATAATGAAGTCCTAGTTTTACACCACCAGTTTTCACAAATATGGTCAATGCTGTTTATCTAACACATTCCCTCCAACATCTGGATTACTTCAAAGCAAAGCTAGACATATTATTTTATCTGTAAGTACTTTTATTTGCATCTCTAACAGATTGAATTCTTAAATAAACATCATATTATCCAAACGAAAAAATAACAAAAATTCTTTATATCATTTAATTGCCAGTCAGTGTTTAACTTTCCCCCACTTATCTTGTGAACATCTTTTTTAAAAAACACTTGGTTTGTTTGAATCAGCAGTCAAATAAGGTCTGCATATTGCATTTGGCTGATATGTCTTTTTCACTTTTGTATCAGATCTTCCTCCTCCTTTTTGTTCTTTATTTTTATTTTTGTAATGAAATGGTCATTTGTTTTGTAAAATTTGGCTGAGTGTATCCCCATGCTGTTGTTTAAAATGTTCACCTATCCCTGTATTTCCTGTAAATTGTTGGTTACAACTAAAGGCTTGATCAGATTCAGATTTGAGTTTACTTTTGGCAACAATCTTTCATAAGTGGTGCTGTGCACTTCCTATTACATCATAGCAAGAGGCCCATAATGTCTGATTCTTTCTCCTCCTGATATTAAGATTGATTAGTAGTTCAAGTGTTTCCAGCTTGATCCATTCATTATAAGGTTCCTCATCAGTCTTATCTGATGGTTTTAGCAGCCATCCATGATCCTTGCCGAGATACATTATTTCATTAGGGATTGCAAAATGGTGACTTTCAATTCTATTATTTCATTATATTAACTAAATGTTTATTCTGAAATAGATTTCATAGAGAGAAGAGCAAGATAAATTCTTTAATCTTTTATTTACCAGTTTTTTTTAGAATGGGCTGGTGCTCTAGAAACCTCCATAAGTGACCACTTTTAAGGTATTATTACAAGCGCATAGATTTTAATGTTTGATGTGTTTTAATCCATTATAGTCATTATTTTTTCGGTATTCACATTGTTCCATCTTAGGGCAGTGGGAGGCCATTTGCATTGATTTCTGCTCCTGCCCCAGATCTGGAATCTGTCATTTCCCCAAGAAGTTCTGGTTCTTATTAGTGGGAACCATCATTAATTTCTGAATAGTCTATAATTTCCTTCTTAAATGTTGAGTTATCAGAAAAGTGTTCTAAAATTTCCAAGTGGCTAATTTTTGGCTTTGTTTTTATTGTTAATTTCTCTATTTTATTTTCCCTATGGCCAGAGAATGTAGCTGTGTGAGTTTCTTCATGGCTTACCATTGCCATTACCAATTAAAAATGTTTTATGAGCATTTGAAAAGAATTCTATGGAGTTATTAAATCAATTCTTAAGTTGTTATTCATAAACATTACTTATTTTTGTTTACTTATTTTAAGAGAGCTGTGTTAAAAACAAATGCTATTATAGGGGTTTGTCAATTCTTTCATTTATAAAAACATATTTTAGTTTACTTATTTTGAGGGATTATGATTTAGTATATAACATTAGGGCCTAGATAAAAAATCTAATTATTCTTATCTGTAAGATGGATAATTTAAAACAATATAAGATTAAATTTTCTTCTCCTTATTAAGGGTTAGACCTCAGAGTACAAACATAGATTTTTTTGCTTTTGTAAAAGAGTACTTGGATTGTGTTGGTAGCTCCAGGAGGAGTAGAGAATGTCATATCTTGGGAGTTGTGTTGCTAGTTAGTATATGCAATAACTTAATAGTGCTGTGAAATGCAGATAGTTGAGTGAATATATAAATGATAAATTATTGGGCAGTGGTCAATATAATTATTATTAGTTGCACATTTTCTTTAATACTGCTTTTCGGTAATCTGGTAGTCTCAAGAAAACAAAGACATTTGCAGAATGTGAGTACAATAAGGATTCCCTCTAGGTTGTGCCTTTTCCTTACATGGAATGCTCTGAAATTAAAAGAGCACATTAAGAAGGTCCAAAGTATTGCCTGAACACCCGATGGTAAGGTCATCCTCACTCATGCTAAGATGGGATGTATGCCGGCAATGTTCACATGATATTTCAACACACGAGGTTGTGGCTGAGCCAAGAGAGCCTGCCACCTATGAGTCTCCTTTCATTTCAGCTGTTTAAAAATACAATTTCACACATTCTTTCATTTTATTAATGAAATGCTATGCTTCAAACCAAACGGCCTGCCTGCCAGGTGGAGCTATAATTATGTCTGGGCAGTCTGCAGCTGTGCTTAGTTATAAAGCTTTAACTAAAGAAAATAGAATTTGAGTTGCTTTTATGCATCTCATAATATTTCCTCAAATCAGTATATTTATATGACAGTTAAATAATTTCTAAAGAGCTTACTGGCAGTTCAACTTTTTTTTTTGGTCAGGACATTGAAAACCTGATAATAAAAATGACCTATTTTTTGGTTATATTTTAGCAAAACTAACCTTAAAATTATTCTTTTGTTTTCTTGGCAACAGTATAATCCATCTCTTTCTTGACTCCTTGCTTTTTCCTACTCACTACTCCCAATCTATTTGCAAATCTGCTGGCACTGGTTTGAAATAGATCTGGGATGCAGCCTCTTCACACACCCCTGACTACAACAACCTGAGTTGAAGCTGCATCATCTCTTGCCAGGACTGCTGCAAACATTTTTTATTTAGACTCCTGCTTCCATTCCAGAATGTATTCTACACCCTGCCTGAATGATCTCTTAAAAAGGTAGATCAAGTTATGTTTCTCCTCTATTCTAAACCTCTTGTTGTGTCCCTTCTGACTTGGAATAAATCTAGAGTTGTTGCTGTGGTCCACCAGACCTTATTCAAGCTGGATCCCTCTGGCCCTCTGCTCTTATTTTCTATCACTCTTCTCCTTGCTGCTTCCATCTCAGCTGTACCAGCCTCCCTGCTGGTTGTGGACACAGTGAGCATGATACCACCCCAGGGATTTTGCATTGGCTGTTCCCGCTACCTGGAATATCTTTCCACACTTATGTGCAGGGTTTGCTCTCTTACTTCATTCAGGTCTCCAAATAAATTTCTCCCTATCAGAGAAATTCCTAAAATTGTCCCTTCCCCTCCTTGTTACTGTCTGTCTCCTTACCTCTATTTATTCTTTTCTTAGCACTTATTAGCCTGATAACATTTCTCTAGTCATGTGTATGAAAGTTCCAAGAGAGAGTAGATTTTGTTTTGTGCATGTTGTATTCCTGTGCCTAGAACAATGCCTGCTGTATCTGTATCTGTAGTGTCTGTTGAATGAGTATGCAAAGTATCTGTATCTGTAGTATCTGTTGAATGGATACACAAAGGCTAGTGCCTGCTGAGTCTCCCATACTTGAACTTGGTGCCCTAGTTCAGGGAAAGTCATAACCAAGATTCATGCTTCCAGAAAGCTGGATACAGCAACCCAGAGCCACTTCTCTGGGATTACAATTTTACTGTGGCCTATTGAGAAATAATTTCTCACTTGTTTTTGCACAATGCCATACCATTTATAAGCCTTTTAAAGAGATATTATCCTATTGAACTTTCACAATTATTTTTATTCTAGAGGTGAGAAAATAAAGACTCAAATAATGTGACATAACCTTGGGATTCAAACCCAGGTT